AAGACACCCCTATGGGAAAAATCATAGGTGCTCTAATGGCCATTCTCTAAACCGCCATCAGAGCTTTCTTGCACAAGAGCATCCTAAAAGCGATGCGCTTTTAGGTGTGGATGTGTGCGCTTTTAGGTGTGGATGTGCACAAGTTTTTGTGAAAAAACTTTTGTGTAAGAAGCCTGCAGTGTAGACGTAGCCTAACAGGAAAAACTTAAAAAACAACAAATTGACTAGTAGCACCTTAAAGACTAACAAAACATGAGCTTTTGTGGGCACAGCCCACTTCTTCAGATGTGTCCAGTTTGGCCAGTATACATGGAAGCGGGGCATTGTTGGCATTTGATGGCATAGATCACATTTAGTGAATGTGCAGTTAAATGAGCCTTTGATTTGGTGGCTGATGTGGTTGGGTCCAGTGATGAAGTCACTGGTGTAGATGTGTGGGCAGAGTTGGCACTAGGGCTGATTGCAGGGGTGAGTTACTGAACGATTATGGTGGAGGTGTGTTGCATGGTTATTGGAAATAATTTGTTTGAGGTTAGGGGGTTGTCTGTAGGCAAGGATTGGCCTTTCCCCCAAGGCCTCTGAGAGAGAGGTCATTTTCCAAGATAGGCTGTAGATTGTTGATAATGCGTTGGAGGGGTTTAAGTTATGGACTATAAGTGATGAAAAGTGGAATTCTGTTGTCTCTTTTTTACCTGTCTTGAAGTAGTTCATGTCTGGGTATTTTTTGGCTCTATCGATCTGTTTTTTCACTTCTCCGGGTGGGTATTTCAGTTTTATGAATGCTCTATATAGATCCTATAGGTGTTTGTCTCTGTCTGTGGGATTGGAGCAAATACGGTTGTATCTTAGGGTTTGGCTGTATACAATAGATTGAGAAATGTGTCTGGGATGGAAGCTAGAGGCATGAAGGTAAGTGTAGTGTTTGATAGGTTTTCGGTATAGGGTGATGGAAATTTGTCTATTATTTAATTGTACTGTAGTGTCAAGGAAGTGGACCTCTTGTGTGGCTTGATCCAGACTGAGGTAGTTACTCATGAATATGCCTACAACAGACTATATTCTTGTTTCTCAAGGTTCCCCTTACCTAGGTCCCTGCCATACTAGAGGGAGTCTATAGCCTAGGCTGCTTACACTACCCTAACATGCAGATCCCTGTGAACTATTGCATGTCTGGTGGGGATGGTTCTGCCCATTTCTTAGATCAGGTTCTTTCCAACTTGTGCAAAGAAGACAAAGTTCCAGGAGATCCTGATTAGTCAGAAGTTTATTGTAGAGAAGTCTAAATTCTTATAGGATAAATAAAATTCCACATTTGGCATTTTTTGGCTTTTCTGATAAATCTTACAAACATTTTAGTAGATAAAAATGTAGCAGTATGAAGCTGCACTGCCCGTGAGGCAAAGAGAAAACTCACCTCCACAGATAAGACAGAATCACCAGAAAGACTGTGTAATGGGCTTTGCTGTTTACTATTCTGGCAAATGAGAGGATTACAAATATAATAAATTACTGCTGGAAAATTGTTCTATATTATAAATGTGAATTATTGGAAAGTTAAATAAAAAATAAAAACTGGAGAATATGGGGGACTCCCAGACAGAATCAAAGGGTAAGATCCTACTTGCTTGCTAAAATAAGACCTCTTAACTTGCATCTCTATATAAAAACTGAGATAGAGCTTACCGAATCCTTACTAAAAGTTCTAACAAAATTAGAGATGGGTATTGGATTTGAAACAAGCAATATGTCTCATATGATTAACTAATATTTTTCAGAGACACCAAGGTGTTACTTTAAAGAAAAAAATGCCTCTCTAAGGTTACCCAAGTGAAAAAAATGAATTCATTTATGAATATGCAGTATTTTTTTGTGACAGTATGCACCGGTATGGCGTACTGTCACCTTTTTTGGGAGCACTCGCTGCTTTCCCGTGGCACAGTCTGCAGCTGACCCTGGGAGCACTCGCGCTGCACTGGACGGAAGCCCACTTGGGACACACAGCAATTAAAGGGGCCGTGACCGCATTTTGGCCCCAGTGCTTTTATTTTTTAAACAAAAAAAGCACTGAATAAATGTATTTGTTTCTAGATGCTGCTAATCAGAAGTGCTAAAACAATCTGTATAAAGGGGGTTCTGAAAGATATTGAATCAAACTGGAAACCCTTTATATAATGGAAACCATTTCAAGTCAGGGGGTAGGGTGGCATCCCTTGTATCTCTGTTTAAGTACCTATGTTGCTGATGCTATACAAGGCTATAGTTGGAAATCAAAGATAAGCACTTGATAAACAAACATTAGGGGTTGGCTCTATGCTCCAGGTTGTCAGTACTGCCTAACAGCAATACTCTGGGGGTATAACACCTAATAGTGAGAGTCTAAGGACCACCTCACCTAGTGGCTTTAATTCCGGAAGCATTGTCCATGGCAAGAGTCCTAAGGTCACTTTACCTAGCAATTACAGTTTTTGCAGTCCTGAGACAAATTAATACCTTTTTACTCAGAAACTGAGCAAATTTAATATAGACATTGCAGGAGAAAGAAGTGGTACTCCCCACAATGCCACATTTGCAGCAGTCTTTTGATAAGGCAGAGATGTTCTGAGTACTTTAATGGGAGGCCTTCTCGCTGAGTAAGGAATTTTGAAATCTACTCTGAGGCAATAATTATATGAATAGGGTGAACAGACAGTACCAAGTAAGTAGAAGACAATTCATATGATGTCTTCAAAACACTGTTAATATGCTTAATTCCTGCATTTTTAGAGTGGCCTATCCTCTGGGAATGGGAAGTGATGCTGGGACAACTTCCTATTAACCAATCCACTTCAGAATCTATTTTCAAGAACTTCAATATGTCATCAGTAACTTGTATAATTTAGATAAATGATCAGGGGGTGGCAGGTGACATAAAGAGACATTAAGCACTGCACAGGTGTAAATAAAATTTAAAAGGACCAGGGGATAGAAATATTGTTTTCGTTCTCATAAAAATATGTTGAAAACCTCAGATTCTTCAAAACAGGAGGAAAGGGGATATTGAATAGGTTTAGCTTCAGCAATTTGGTAATAATTTAGTATAAAACAGGCAAGAAGAAAGATAAATATCTGGGATGATTGACAACAAAACCTGCGATAAATAAAAATTAATATTGCCCTGGGTTGTGAGGGACAAATAAAGGTTGTAGTCAAGGCATCTTGCTCAACTAAATGTTTGAAGATATGACTTACAGGGCCAAGTTAATCATGGCACAACTTCACCTACACCTACTTTAAGTTGTTCCAGTGATCAGCTGTTCTCCATGTCCACTGGAGGCAGGATAAGAAGTAACTGAGGGTATGTCTACATTTGCCCCCTACTTCGAAGTAGGGAGGCAAATGAAGGCGACTGAAGTTGCAAATCAAGCATGGGATTTAAATATCCCGCACTTGATTAGCATAGTCGCGTCCGGTCGCCATGTTGGAAATTGACTAGCCCGAATTAACTCGCTGTGTGTAGACGCAGGGAAAACCTGGTACTTTGAATTAACTGTACTCCTTGATTTGCAACTTCGGTTGCCTTCATTTGCCTCCCTACTTCGAAGTAGGGGGCAAGTGTAGACGTCCCCTGAGTTAACATGCAGCAAGAGAGATTTATATTGGGCATTAGGAAACAATTTTCTAACTATAAAGATAATTAACTCTGGATAATATTACATAGAGGAATCCAAGTCCTTGGACGTTTTTAAGAACAGATTAGGAAAACTGTCAGACATGATCTAGGCATAGTTAATTTTATTTTTGTGAAGGTGGATGGACAAGATGATCTCTTGAGATCCCTTACAATCCTACATGTTTACAAATACATTTCAGATTGAATTTATGTTGGTAGGTCCCTCCCTCAGTATTTGAGTCAAAAGGGCCACGCAATGCTAGGCTGATGTGGAGCCTGACCATATGGTAATTTCATGACCCTGAACTGGAGACTAGCGCTCCTGGCAGTCAGTGATGCTAGATACCTGCTAAAAAGTTTATGGTGGGGAGTTTCTTTCTCCACATTAGCTGTAAGGTTACTCTGTGCTGTAGAGAAGGGGGTATGAAGAGGCAGCTTGAGCTTCAGGAGGCATTCTCTATGGACAGCCATAATTCCTCCTAGGGGCTTCAGAATGTATAGTGGAGAGATTACTCTGCCATCTGCAGAGGATGCAGTAGGCTCTCTGCTTGCTGCCCAGCCAATTCTGGGCAGTTGTGTAGTGAGAAAGCAAAGTTCTCCCTCCCCACCTCCTCTCACAGCCACATTACCAGTGGTATCACCTGTGGAAAGACCGGAGAGGATGTACTTTCCCTATAACATTAGCATATGGATGTTAAGAATCTCTGGTTTTTTCACTTTTCTATGATTTTTTGCAGGCCTTCCTTGTGTTTTTAGATTAAATCGTACTGTTTCCTCTCTGATTTTGGGTGTGAAGGATGACAGAGCAAGCTGAGCATTTTCTTAAAAGAAAGGGGGGGGGAGTATAATATACTGTGTAAAGGTAAGATTATTATCAAATTATTTGTTATGAATGAGAACCTTAGTGTTTTACATTAGCATTCCAATTTTTCCTAAAATCTTACATTAATTAAAATTGTGTATTCATTTCTGTAAGTTCAATATTATATACAGTACAAGCTATTAATTCTAGAGAGTGCTATCACTTCAAATGTACTTACATTTATTTCCTGTGCTTTGATGTAGCCCAGTAATAATAATGCCACATTTACCGAATGTACAGTCTAAAGTATAGTACTCTGTAAATCAACATGTGGCTGAACGAGTTACATACATCCTACAGGATACCACTGCAGTTCTAAATTGTTTCCTGTTAATACTTGTGCACATGTACTACAAAAATTTTGAACTGTGCTCAGCACACAATCTGGTAACTAATAGTTTTGAAAAACTATATCACTCTACAGATAAATAAATGATGTATAAATACACAAATGTAAAGTAAATATAGTTTATTCAGAGTAGCATAATAAGGAATCTAGACAATTCCTGTAACTTCTATTGAAAAGCACGTATTTTAAACTTATTAGTGGGATTCAAATGAAGAAAAAAAAATATTTACAAAACACAGATGTTCAAACAAACTCTCATTTTAGTAGGAAATCAACAATCAATAATTATGTATGCTGGGATTTTGCACAAAGTGGAAAATTGTATGTATCATATTAGATGCATCATTGCTTAGGGTTGCCAGGTGTCCGGTTTTGAACCAGACAGTCCAGTATTTGAGCTTTCTGTTCAGGAAACAAATTGAGAAAATATAAATGAGAAAATATAAATGTCCGGTAATTTCTAAATAAGATGTAATATAGATTGTGATGTAATGTCAAGTGTGTCCGGTATTTTTGTTGAAACCATCTAGCAACCCTATTATTGCTTTGTTTAGGGTATTGTGTTTTCTCTTTGAATGTGTATGGGACAGCACTGCATAACCAATGGCAAATACTTGACAATTGGACATTTTCAGAATTTGATGTTACACATCATTTTTAAAAGTCAAAGTGTAAATCTCAATTACAACAGAAATACCACTTAAATTACAAAATACATTGTTGTAGATCACTCAGAGCATGTCTATACTAGAGAGAAGATCTACCCTCAAGAGGTCAATCTTCTAATGTTTGATTTAGCAGGTCTAATATAGACACATAAATCGAACATTGAGGTCTGCCCTCACTGCCCCATTCCATGAGGAATAAAAGAAGCCAACTTCAGCTACAGATTTTGCATAGCTGGAGTTGCGTACCTTAAACTGACCTGCCTGGTCTACTATAGACCAGGCCCCAGAGAACATTCTAAGAGAAACGATATCACTAAATACCACCTTGAATAAGAATTTAGATTTAGTTCACCTATTCATTGAATATGCACATTCAATGGGCTATTCACCATTGCAAATGGATTATCGGCTACTGTTAATACGTGCACATATTTTCTGTGGTATTGTAAAGTAATTTTAAAAAAAATCGGAAAACACAATAATTGAAAATGATACATTTGTTTTTACCTGAAACCTTCTTTGTGAATTGTCAGGTTAATCAACCTTCTGAATGGATCTCCTTCAACTTTACAATCAGGAGGCATCTTCAGATTTTTCAGTCATGGCTAGTTTTGAGCTCCACCTACTCAGGAAAGCCATTAGATACAGTGTTTCCTGAAGTGACACACAATATAAAATAACAACCCAACTTCTCAAACTCAGAGAAAATAAGTTATCGCATAAAAACATATTTTTTTTGTCATATCTAAGTTTCTAATCATGATGAAGGCATTTTAAGAGCAATGAAATACCACTACTACAGCCAAATAATCCCAGCATCTGAAAGTGTCCTTCTTTCAAATATCCAGCTCCATGATATATAAAGTCTTTTGTCTCTTGCCGCTTTCAGAGCAAAACTAATCCAATGAGTGAATGGCACAGCACTCTGGTGCATGAAAGCTAAATCCTGCCCATTGCAGAAGCTGCTTGAGAAGGTAACAACTACGCTGTAATGCCATACTGCACTGTAGATATAAGGAACATGGCTGGGATGGAGGAAGGAAATGGAGATTTTGGTAACTGTGTAAGGGACAGTTGGACAGCATGCTGGAAGCCACTTGCATAGTTGGCCCCATTCAAAATGTATTTTAACTAGAAGATTTACCCAATGTTGCTCTGGTCCTTAACTCAAATAAGTTTTGTTTTTCTTCATGTAAATCATTGTTCCTGGGTGAGGCTGGGGATGAGGATTTGAAGGGATGAGGAGACAACCTCAGCCCTCTCTCACCGGAGCAGCTTGGGGTCAGGTAAGAAGCACTAGTCCATGGTCACTGCAGTGAGCACAGCTGGGTGAGGGGTCCTCCAGCCAGGAGTAAAACACACAAAAAGGCAAACAGACAAACACTCTGAAATATATAGTAGAACTGTTCCTTTCTTGTCTACTGTACCCTGCTGGTCCAATGGGGTTATAGCTGTCCTGATCTCCATCTCTGGCCCTTTTGCTGTTCACTTCTGGTCATTCTTTAGTATAACTCCCTCCTTCCAGATCCCTCCCGTTCCATTTTATGAGATACAATGGAATTCCAGGCACATCCCATTATCCTGGCACAACCAAACCCTGATCTTGCTTTAAAGTTATGATAAGAAGAAGCTGCATACCAAATTGGTAGCCCTAGCTCTTACCATTTAGGAAGAATTTTTGAACAAACTAATCCATGGACGGATAGACAGACGCACATTTCTAAAATATGTAGTAGGAAGATGAATCCAAATGCAAAATCATATATCTAGGAACAAGGAATGTAGCCCATACCTACAGAATGAAGACCTGTATCCTAGAAAGCACGGAATGAAAAGGATTAGGTCATCATAGTGGACAAGCAATACCGTATATTCCGGCGTACAAGACGACCTCTGATGTTAAAAAACATCCCCCAAAAATCGGGGGTCGTCTTGTACGCCGGATGCCCCGCCGCCGGAGCGGAGCCCCTCCGCGGCTTTGAAAGGCTCGGGGGGAGCCGGGGGGCGGGCGCCCCCGCG